TCTCAAGAAACAATAATTATAGGAAAAAAAAAAAAATGCGTAAATTACTTGCTAAGACAATATATTCGCTAAGGAAACATAAACCTCTTAACTTATTGCATTAACAATGCTCTTTTATTTGGTACCGTCCCTCTAGACGCTAAGGTTTTATTTTTCGTTAAAAATACTTTACTTTAAAAGTAGTAGCTTATTCTTATTAAAAATAAGTAGCTTATTCTAAAACGAGTGTAGTTATTGTCAAAGTATTTCCTGAGTATTGAAATTCACAGATGAGAAACTGTGTAATTCGCCAGAAACAATAAAAGAGATATTTGTAAAAAGTAAAAAGAATTGAATTTTGCAATAATCACATCATATTTCTTTTGCATAAAATATTTTACTTATTTATATTTTAAACTGTTACTTATACAGTTATACAATAGATATGACAAAAAATAATGTATTAAAACAAACTTTTTTGTTTTGTTTTATTAAAATCAATTTTTTGAATTTTTTTCTATCAAATATTCTTATTATTGATTATTTATTTTGTTATATATAAATTTGTATTATTTTCAAAGTTTAAAAATTTTTATAATAAATGTGTATAATATAAAAATTTATTTATTTCGTTATACTATTATTTTTAGATTTTAAAAAAAATACCAAAAAAAATCTCTTTTATTTTTCATGTTACGATATAACGAAAAATTATAATATTATGTTGGCACTTTATATATTTTGGATCTTGGTAACGTTTATACATTTAATGGAACGGACCTAAAGATACACCCGTTTATAAAAAAATATTTTATACATTCCTTTTGCAAATATCTATAATAACATAAATTGATAAATAAGAGAGCAAATGTTTAACTTTTTGAAGGATAATTAATTTACTTTCTTGACACATTCGTTTATAAAAATCACTTAGATTAATTTAATTCATTTTTCCGATATTTTTTACAATTTTGAATTTCGATTACTTTAAAAAATATATTTTTATTTCATTAAATTTTCTTTGCACATTTTTATTTCATTCAACGCGAAACTTTGCATTTTTATTCGCATCAATCCTCCAAAAAGTAATATTTATAGTATTAAATTAAGATTAGCAATTGAACAATTTAATTATCATTTTATTGATGATTAAATTCATATCATAACAATCATCATTGTTAATACAAATATAAGAAGTAAGTTAATATGAAACGAATATCGTAAAATCTATCTAAGCAACTTCAATATAAGGCACATTATTTTTTTTTCTTCTTCTTATATTAACGATAAAACATGATTAAATCATTAATCGCTAATCTTAATTCAATTATACATCTCGGACACATATTTGCACAGTATTGAAGGCCACCATTTTACATACAGATTACTTTTGAGCTACTGAGATCCTGCCGAGAGTATACAACTTCAATTTCAGGTATGTTACAAATTTTAAATAGTTCTCTGGTATACATAAAAAAATAATGCTGCAGCCTCGTTCGAAAAAATTTTGGCATCCTTCTAGCTTGATCTTAAAACGCACTGAACTCTTATTTCGTATTATCATATCGTTCAATTGTTATATTTTTACCGTTTTCGAGGCGACAGTACACAAAATACTATATAATTAATTGTAAAAATCGAATTTTCATCAGTTGACCTACAAATATTTATGAACAATATATACAATATGTACATACAATGCATTCGATTTTTTTTTTTGATTAAGTCTTTGAGCGTGTGTATTATTATTGATCATTAGAGTAAAAACATTACATACACTGGAATGATATTGTCCCATATCACAGAAATGTGTTCGTTGTGCCCATGTTCTTTTCTAATGATGTTTCATTTTAATTAACTCTGGACAAAGGAAATTATGGATAGGTTTAACAAAAAATTATTCATGCAAAATTGTATCAAACAATTGAAGAAATAATTTATTATTTCTTTTATACTAAATGATAAATAATTTAGAAATGATTAAAAAAAAAATACTTATGCCGTGAATTATTAGAAAAATATCTAAAATATAATGAACTCTTTTACTGAATAATTTTCTAATTTACTTTTTATATATACATAACAAAGGCAAAGTAAACAATTTTAATCTTTTTCATTATAAATCAATCTATTCGATTGCCTTAATTTATTCTTTAATTTTTATATTCTTTTTTTTTTTTTTGACTGTGAGCTTATTTTAATATTCTATATAAAATATAAAATTAATCATTATTGTAATTAAAATATAAAGATATTAAAAGATAAATATATATTTACATATATGAGCTATTATAAACTATACACTATAAAATTAAAAATTTTTTACAAAAATTTAAAGTTTTGAGAAATTGTTTAAATGCTATTCTATAAAAAAATGTTTTAAATTAATTCAATATGTTCAAAAGGAATCTCATCACAAATTTATATGAAGTTACATATAAATAAAAATACTTCATTAAGTAATTATAAGAAAAATAAAAAATTCAGCATATATTAAACAAAGCTATTATCAAATCTGCTTTATTTAATAGAATGTGAATATTTGATTTCTTATATTTTTTTAATAAAGTATTTGATTCCTTGAATATGTTGTATTAATTTCTTCTATAAAATAATCATCGTTTTGCTAAAAGAATAAAATAGAAAAATGAAAATAAATACAAATATAAATTTTTGAAGATATCATATAATTCTAAATTTAAAATGCTTAAATACCTAACAAAAATATAAAATTATAAAATCTTTTTTAAAGTATGACAATATTGATGAATTTAAAATACTTATTATTTTGAAAAATATAAAAATAATATAAACTTTATTCTATAATTCAAAATTATCAGAATTAATTTAATCTGTAATGAAAAAGAATGCAAAATTTTAATTTTAATTTACTATTAAATATCAATAAAATTTTAAATAAATTCACTATATTCTATTAATTGAAATAATGAGCTATAATTTTGGCACACCACGAATTTTTTAAATTCACGGCATAAGATTTTATATATATTTCTGCAATAAATAGAGAGCATTTACATACCCAAAGTAATAAGATATTAATTGAACATGGAATTAACGAAACACAGATCTTTTCACGACATTTCATAAAAATTATTTGGATTTTCGCTTAGAGAGACATATTATAACTTTTTTTTTTTCTTTACAAAATATAAATTTCGTAATCGATATTTAAACTCTTTTTACTAATGAAAGTTACAATACAATTTTATTTGATTAAAATTTCTAAATGTTGATACAATGAAAAATAAGATATTACAATTAAACAAATTCTTTATTTATATAGATATCAATTTCTTAATAAAATATTTTCTTTATTGTTTTCATGTTTCTTTTTTATTGTATACAAAGTGAATAAAATGAAGAAAATATTTTACCAGTATATATGTCATGGTTCCGCAGAGAATAAAAGAAATTTTCATTTCATTGTTTGAAAAGATCAATTAAAAATTGAAATTATGAATATCAATCACGAAATTTAACCGAACACGAATATATTACTATACGCTGGTTATTTACATGCAGTCTTTTGCGGTCCAGCATACACCGGTACAAAAATAACATTCAAACGAAAAAGAAACGGGAAAAAAATTAATTAAATAAAAGAAAGTGGACATTCAAACTTTAAAACGAACGTACGGAATCGACGTGGCATACTAGCACACTAGAAACAACGTAAAAAATAAAGTATGGCTCTTAAGATGTGAAAAAAAAGAGAGAAGCATCTACCTGATTTTATCCTTATAGCGTGACGCGTCTCTCTGTCTTTTCTATCGCATAAAAATTAATTAAAAAAAACAAGATACATTATGGCAATTCTTATGGCGTAAATTACAAATGGCACAAAAGTGTATTCTCGTTTTTGTACCGGTTCAAATGTTGAAACCTTGGGCGCAATATTGACAGAAACTTTATTCACGAAAGAAATATACTCTCTGTTGGAAGAAATATAACCTGAGATTCTATTGTTAAATTTAATAATAGTAATTTTGAAAAAATTGAATATCAATATCAATAATATCAAAACAATACTAAGATTCGTTTAAATGTTAGCAAATCCTTGCCACAATTAATCATTGATCATCCATATTGAACTCGATTATTATATAAGAAGAGGATGATTATTATATTATTGATAAGAGATTGTTATTCTCGTTGAAAAAGTTTTTGTCATTACCACCCTTTTTTATCTCCCGATACTTGACTCACATTCTCTAGATTCTAGTACTGTACATTTCCTCTTTCCATTCATACTTACACAACTTTTATCTTACTATAGAGCTAGACATACTTCAATAATACTTTTTGAGCGACCCTTTCTACGAGTCATGGCAATCCTCTTTTTGATCTCGCAGTTTATGAGACTAGGAGCAATACGTACACACGTGAAACAAATTTTCTTTGTTCCCTTTGGAGAGAGGGTCACACCTTAAGAGGGGAATAACCAATAAGAGAGAAAAAGAAAATGTATCGAAATTACGATTCAACGAACAAAAGACGATATTTAAATTGCACGAGGTACATTTTGCTCACACGTGGTCACTAATTTCCAATGGATAAAACTCATTCATATTAAAAATTCAACTATGAGCAGAAATTTCCAACAAATAAAAATAAATATTTTTTTTTTTTGAACAAATGGTTACATTTGAACATTTTAAATTTATTTCGTATTATTGTCAAATAAATTTCGTGATATTAATAAAATAAAACGAGAGACAGACATAACTTAATAAAAATTAAGAAATTAAAATAAAGAATGCATTGTCCGCATTAATAATATATTAAAATTAAAATTATTGAGAAACTTGGTCAAGAGATTAAAATTAAAAAAACCATTTTGTCCTTCATTGAATCGATATATCTTTAAAAACAAGACACGATCAAATATAAATTTCCTTTTTACGAACGTTAAAATTCTACCGACACTTAACGTTTCGTTTCATTAAAATTCAATGATCGTTCATTCTTCTTTCGACGATCTATTTCAGTCGATGTTTTTACCGCGATTCGATTGCATTGTAAGTTGGTGACTTGAAATTCCACAACTCAGAAATTAGCAGACAGAAAACGTGCCAATTAATCAAGATTTAATCAAAGAGAAATTAGAAGTTTTAGATACATCACATCGTAAATAACACCCAACAGTTATAATAATATTATAAGAGGGCGTTCGCGTAACAAAGAAGATCCCAGTCGGTCAAAAAGACACAACTTTGTTTTTAACTAACCTCTCTGCTAGCTTCATCAGGTCGTGAAACACGGTGGGTTTGACTGGGTAAAAAGTGGTCAACGCAAAGTGTCGGCCTATGCCCTTAAAAGTTTTACGACTTGGTTCTCATATTCTTTCTCATATTTTCTCTTTTTCTCTCTTTCTGCGTTTTTTGTCTTCTTAATCGACAATCTTCGGCCCCTTTCTCTTCATCTCGATTTGCTGAACAAAATATTGAGAGAAACGTTGAAACGTTTCACTACCAATTCAATTAATTTAAGAGCCACGTAAAAATTCTTTTGATCGTATAAAGGTAACATTCAATCACGTTGCGAATTTATGATTCTTAAAAAAATGATGTTTAATTTCTTGAGTTTGAATTTATGAACTCTAAGAAATTTGAATAAATAATAGTTTCTTAAGATTTCATAAACCTTCCAACAATTCACCATGAAATTAATAAAAAGGTATCTTGAGGATTTTTAAATTTCGATTTTTTTTTTTTTTAAATAAATAAAGTAATTAGTACTGAGAATTTTTTCCTCCTCTAAAAGATTCCTCTCTCCTCCATATACTTATCTGATTAAACGGACATCGTAAATGGTTCGAAACCGATAAACTTTAACAGCTTAATTTTAAAATTATCAATAATCGTCACTTTCATTTATAAATCATAATTTACAAATGAAAATGATTATTTGTAAAAATGTAACAGTCATTTATGAAATATATTTAAAACTATATTAGATTAAAATTTTTTTTCTCTTATAGTTTTTTTTTTAAAGTTTTATAACATACAGATTTAAAAATCCATTTTGTTGGTCGAACCACTTAAATTAACGATGTTCATTTCACATTTCCAAAACACTGCGTATCATAACAATTAAAATAATCCCGAAATTATATTTCTTACAATTCTCGACATTCTCTCCATTTTTTTTTTTTGAAGATTATTTTATCGAGAAGAATTATTTTATCGAGAAAAGTGATAAGATTAAAACAAAAACATTCTCGACATATAACAACGTAAATGTTTATAATCTCCTGAGATTCCGTTTGCTCTGTTTCGAGCCAATAACCAGCCGTTTATTCCTCTTCGTCGGCGTTGCTAACAGGGGTGTCTTACAAGGACCAGTATGAGGTCTTGATGAACAGGAGGTGCAAAATTCCATCGAACAACCTTGTCTTGAACACGTTCCTACGTTCTTCTCGCCGTCCACGTGACAAGGAACGAACATTTTGGGCATGGTAACAAATGTTCCCAAGGAGCGAGTGTACGACTAGCCTGTTAACAAAAATAATAAATATTATAATAAATAATATAAAATAATAAATTGCATATAAAATAATTAAAACAATTTATAATTACATATTTATATATTTAATCAGTTATTTCTTATATTATTACATTTAATATTCTTTAAAAAAATGTTTTATTATATATTTACTTTTTCGAAAAAATTATGAAACTTACTACTAAAATGATATGTGTTTATTATGTTAGAAAAAGATCGTATTCATTTTTTTATTATTCATATTATAAGAAATAGTAATGTTAAATCTTATCATCTCTCTGTGATTCGTTGATAAAACATAAAATATATATTATAACGAAATATAAAAAACAATTTCTTTAAAAATATTATTATCGATATAATATTATCATAAATTCATGAAACAAATTTATCTTTTGTGTACGTAAATTTTTTATTTCTATTGAATTTTTTAATAATATAAAATTTTGATATATCATTAAGTTAATAATCTTTATTTAAATAATTTAAACTGTATAAAAGATTATATGTTGTTTAAAAATTTTATATTACTAGAATTTTTTCTGTAAGTAAAATTTATAAAAAAAATAAAATTTGTTACGGATGGTAACATTCAAAATACTCGTGGAAATAGTAGATTTGTTTTTTATCGACACTGTAGTCGGTAAAATAATAAGACAGTAGAGCAGTGAAATTTCTGTATTTTTTTTTTTCATACAAAAATAAAATAAAAAAATTTCCTAATAAAATGAAAATATATTAATTTATCACCGTAATTTTTTATTTAAAAATCTTTCTAATAAAAAAACTATATTATTTCTTGAAGTTTAATTTTAAATGAAATTATTTTTAAAACATTTAGATGTGCCAAAAATCAAATTTATATCAAATTTATAAGAAATATATAAAAACTATCAAAATATGAGACATTCTCAATATGAAAAAAATACAATAAATCATATTGAAGAAAATTTAAATCCTTCTTTAAAATTCGATTGATATTAACTTTTATCAATAACTCTAATTAAATAATTTCAATATTATTTATGTATTCAAAATTTTACAAATTACTCATTTACAAATACAAATTCCTAATTTTTATTTAATATATTAAAAAAATGATATAGATTGATAACAAAACATACTGCTTTACCTACTGTGATACAAACAAATTGTATTATTTCAAGAAAAACAGTTCCATATTATGATACATAAAAAAATATGCTTATCTATTACCAAACTAACATATATATAATAAAAACAAAAAATTAAAATAAATCTTAAGTGTGAAAAAAATCCATTAGTGTTGCTGCTATATTATCTGAAATGTTTCTTATTATCTACTTTTTGATAACACAACTGGCATTTCCTATTTACTTAATTATAAAAAATATAAATTAGAAAAAAAGACAAAACTGATATCTTGCAGTCTTTTTAACAGAGATAAATAATGAATCGCATTAGTTATATCAAATATTATACTTTTTATTCATATCAGAATAACTTATTGTAATATCGTAAAGTAAAAGAAATGTTTCATTAGAGATTACAATAAAAAGATTTATATGCACTTCTACAAACAATTAAATATAAAATTACTTATATTTTTATATCAAATAATAATATAACCTCATTTAATTGCAAAACGTTAAATGATATTAAATAATTAAATAAAAATTTAACAATAAAATAAATTGTTTCTTTTTATTAGCAAAAGATTTAAATTAATAATTTATTTGCACAAAAAAGTGATATAAATATAAAAATGATACTTATGTATAAATATATATTGTATATAACAAAATTTATAATATTAAAATTAAGTTTTTCGAAAAATTCTAAGATTAAACGAAGAAATAAACAGATGATCAATGAAATTTAAGAAATAAACAGATGATCAATGAAACTTCTAAAGACAAGAAGCCATTCACGATAAACAGACGCATGGATTGCATGCGTTCAGAATTCAGCATAGCGTCACGAACAACAAACAACGTTGTCGAAGCGAGCTGGCAAGCATCTGTCGTGCATTGCTAATTAGCACAGCAGAAAATGCGTGAGAAAATTTAAGCAATCGAGTATGCGAGACAAAATCGAAGGTTATCAGGCGAATGTCCTTTTCCCCACTTCAACTGCAACACAAAACATCGCACAAGTTTCGGCCAAATGTTATTCACGGCTCACAGCTGTGCCATTCGAATTTCCCTGCCTAGCAACCAAGCGGATTCCGACCGACCTGGACAAATCCGAAAGTAGCGTCAAAACGTTGGCGCCAGAATTTCTGGCGGGAAAGGAATGGGTCTCACAGGTTAAGACACAGATCACCATATGTGATGTTATCTTCTTCTTATTTCGTTACAAAAGGATCCGATACGATGAATTATTTTATACCTATGAATTTTCTTTTTCTAATGATAATTTACATGACATTTTATGCGTAACTTAAGGTATTTTCAATAACTTTTAATATATCATATAAATGTATTAATAATAGTTAACATAAAATTGTTAAACAGATCGTTTAAATATTAATGAACAAAATTATTTTTTAAGTAAAATACTTGAAAAATGATCGTTAAAATAATATTTTATTATAAAAAAAAAATAATTTTAAAATAATTTAATTTTTATTGAAATAAAATAAAATAACTTTTCATAACTTACTTAAAATACAAAATTAAAATAAATTAAAATAATATCTCAAGCTTATTTTTTATTTTTATTTTAAATAAAATTTTACTTCGATTTTCTATGAAATATTGAAGTAAAACTAAATAAAAAATCAAAAATTAATTATTCTAAATATAACAATATACAAAAGTTTATAATTTAAACATTTAATCATAAATCATAAAATTCATTTAATATTGAAAAATCATACCATAAATAAACAAAAGTTTATATTATAACTTTTTCTGATTATATTCAAATTTCAATAAAAATTTATTAACGAAACTATTAAAGAGAAAAATACAAAATATTAAATCTTAACGAAAAAAAAAAAAAAAAAAATAAATTTCAACATTCCAATAAACATTCAAATTTGAAATTATACTTGAAAACTGATTTTTTCTTTGAGTTGATATTTCAAAAGTATTTTTTAATTTTTACTCTACATCGACATGACAGATAGTGATGACAGATAGTGCTCTTTGTAAAATATAGTAGAAACTAATTGGAGGAAACGAATTCTACGGAAAGGTTCATATGAGATTAAAATTTGAAAGCGTGGTAATATTTTCTTCCAACAGAGTTTGTCGGTCGTAGCGTCTACTCGCCTGTGGCAACCGCGCTCGAAAATGTAGAAAATGATGGTAGGGTACACTTCTACCCAAAGCCCTTTGCTCACAATATAACAGCCGGCTGGCGCAACATTGTGTGGTGTAGTTATATATCTACAAAAAGTTATGTCGTAACGTAACTCCCCTAAGTGTAGTCCCTTACACATACTTCCTGCAACTCAAACGTAGAATTCTTTTCGACAGTTATAATATAGAGGAAGATTAAAACGAAATGTGTTCTTAATTACACATTTCGTAAGTGTACAATCATTCACAAAATTTAACGTGTACATAATTAAAACGAATTAAAACGAGTTGAAACGTATACGTATAACTAGAAAATTTGTACTTTTTATATATGCACAAGTGCAAATGAAAAAACATAGATAAAAGAATAATGAAAAATTTATTAGGTATATTGCTATATACCTATTATAAATTCAGTAACTTTTTTGTAATAGAAGAAATGAAATATAAGATGAATAATTAAGAATCTAGAAAATAACTAAAATTTTGGTTCACAATAATTATTATTAACGTAAAAGTTGTGGAAATTGCAATAAGATTTTATAAAAAAAAAATTACACACAGATTTTACAAAACTAGATTAAAGGAATGTATAATTATGAAATTCATTAGAAATCATAACCTGTAATATCTGAATCAATATAAGTTGAATCAATATAATAAAATTATTATTAATATACAATAAAATGTATCGTACAAAAATAATATAGAAAAGTTTATTTATAATGAAAAAACATTATTATTAAACAAAAATATTTTGAGAAGTTTCAATCAATGTATTTTGTTGTTTTTTAATTAAAATATTTGAAATGTAATGTTGTAATAAGACATTTGAAGATACTGAACTTCCTGAGGGAAAAGATAAATTATTCGAGGTCGGTTATTCTATATAACCGATTGACCGAGTTGAAAAAAATTTCTTTCTACTGTAGATAGTTAGATAGCCATGAAAAAAAAAGGGCTGCGAGAACAGACCCATACAAAGGACCGTCCTACAATTTCGTGGAACCAAGATAAAACTCTGGCCTACGAATGTAAATGTCGCTACGCTACAATATTGAAACAAGCGTGTCATTGTATTTGATCGCAACTGTTCCTGTTATTTTTTCGTCGAAATGTGACTGTTCTCCTGTGATATTGGGTTGCAAGACTACATTTCGTCAGAGTAGCTAACAAAGTAGAAAATTTGATAAGATGTTAGAAATAGGATATAATAACTATTCAATACAGAAAAATAAAATTTTGAATGCAGACAACGAAAAATCCTACGTTTCCGGAATAAAAATCATCGTATCTTCTTTGATGTGTACTTCGTTTTAAATGCTTTTTTCAACATATACACTTTTTTCCCCTTTTTCTTTCAACTTTTTCTTTATTAATTTTTTTTTTATTAAATTGAAAAAATTTCACAATAAATTTTAATTTCATTCAATAAATTAAAAATTAATATTATCATGATTTTCACCATTTTTCATTGCTTTTTCTTTTTTTTAATAATTCAGTCACATTTTGGAATTCGTTTTTTTTCATTGTTATAATAAAAATATTTAAATTAAAGCAAAGTATTTTTTAATACTCTTTTTTGTAATATAAAAATATTGTTACAAAAATTATTTGGTACAAAGAATTACGTGATATTACCATATTTTTCTGTAAACAAATATGATCATAGAAATCATATGAAAGTGATATACATTTTTTTT